GTTCTTGGAGAGCTCTCAATTTTCACTGCCTCCTGGTACACTTTTCTCACGTAATACCCTCCCCTTTATGTAGAAGGGACCTGTGACTTGCTTTCAACAAAAGAGAACTGTCTTTGATAGACTCTCAAGTTGTAGTTATGTTCCCCAGCCCTCCAGTTTGTCAGGATCTTGGACACGAATATATATGTATACCTGGAATGTTTTCAAGTTGGCCGAGGGATCTGAACCTATGGACAGGCGGCTTCCAGCACTGCAGATCAATTTGCTGCCGACTGTGCGGCCAGATTGAGTCGTTGCTTATTTTCTTAACAGTCCGACACACAGCACATGTTTACCACAATGCTTTCATGTTCTCCTGCACATACGGCAAGATGTCCATCTTCTGGTCACGTTAGTCTAGCTGCCGTGGCTATTTCAGAACCTGAGGATGACCTGTCTCCCTGGGCGAGTAGAGACGAGTGGAAGAGCAAAGAGCTAGGAGAGAGCTTTGCCCAGAGAGGTCCCAGGCTGAGTGTACACATTTGCAGAAGCTCAGGAGAGACCTAGTCCTCGGCAAGGTCTGGCCCCTCAGCTTCCGCCTTTCCTAGAAAACACTTGCAGTTTTTGTGCTTCGCTTTCTTTCAGCCCCGACATAGAGAATGCAGGTAGATGCTGAGGTAGAGAATCGACTAGCACGCAAATAGCTGCAAATCCAAACGTTGTAGTTGCTATTTTTTCTAAGAATGTTGACGTTGGTCCAAATGTAATTTTTCTATCTTAAATGCATGAATTGTATTATAAGTAGCATAACTCAAACTGATTTTTATGCAATGTTTATATTTTATGGTGTTATTAATCATCAGTTTCATTACTTTAGTTTCTTTTTCATGGATTAGATTGCAGGCCACTCTCTGCCTTGTCTGTACTGACTCGGGATGAACAGAGCCCTCAGATTGTCTCTTAAGGAATAAGAATACGAGAACCCAGAGGGGAAGTGGATCCCTACAGCTAAGATTGTGGCCTAAACCCTGAGGTCATTTCAGTGGTTCTCGATGAGGCCAAATGGACCTTCCAAGCTGGGAACCACTGGGACATAGGTGACTGGAGAGGACTGGGTTGGCTTCCACATGTCCTCACTTCCTGCCTGACAAGACAGCTCTAGGGTAATTTGAGTGCCTGAGTGACTCTTTCTCGCCATGTAGAGAACCTATGAGTCCTCAGAAGTTCAGGAGCGAAATGAGGATCTGAGGTGAGAAGTGCTTTTGGAGCTGAACGTTGCAGGATAAGGAGGGGAAGGGAGGCTCCCAGGCTTTTTGCTGAGGGTCCTCCAGGGATAGTGGCACCACCAGTGGTAAAGGATACAGAAAGAGGGTTCGATTTGGAGGAAATCTGAAAAACTCAGCTGGAGCAGATGAGTTTAAGGTACCTGAGGGACTGCCGGGGACACTTCTCTAGCAAACGGCTGGATATACAGGCCTATTCTGGTTACTTATTAATATCTAACAAACCACCACAAAATTTAGTGACTTAATACCAGTATTTTATTTTCCCATAATTCTGCAATTTGGGCATGGTGGAGAACAGCTCATCTCTGCTCCGTGTAGTACCAGCTGGGGCACCTTGAATAGAGCTGGAAAAGCTGCTTCCAAGACGGTGTCACCCACATGCACGGCAGGCTGTGCTCACTGTCTGGCAGGAGCAAAGGTGAGGTTGTTAGCCAAGGGCCTCAGCTTCCCTCCATGTGCCCTCTCCAGGTGCCCGGTTAGATGTCTCAGAGTGTGACACTTGAGTAGTTGGAGTTCTTATATGAAGCTTCCCTCAAGGGCCAGAAATGAAAGCTATGATAAAAGATAGAAATCAAATAAGGAAATAGGTTTTATTCAGGCAATTGCAATAGAGAGAGTACCCCAGATTTGAAGATCAGAGTGTCTCAGCAGAGTAGTCTTGCTTTATAAATAAAAATATATATATATATATATTTTAGAGATTTTTGCCTTAGGGCACATGTACTTATTGGGGAGAGAGAAAGAGACAGAGACAAAGAGAGAGAAAGTGAGAAATCACCCCCTAGGGGGAATGGCCACACGGCAAACCCTTCTCCTCTATTCTTCTCCCAGGATCTTGGGCACAAATGCACATGTGCGTGGTGAATTTCAAGCCACTGTGTCCAGGACTCAAACTGTGGTAGGCCATATGGGAGTCCAGTGACATAACTGCTAAACCATCTGCTGGCCCTTGCTTTATATTTTATAGGGAGCAGTAGACAGGTTACAGGTGAGGCGATTAGCGTTTGTTTTTGTCTTCAGAGGATAGCTTCGTTGCTCAGGAAATGTTTGTCTCTGTGTTCAGCTATTTTCAAGGACACAGTTCCAATTCCAGCCAATCATTCACAAGACAAAGAACAGGGAATCGAAGAGGGTCTGACTTTCTCAACAGGTTCAGGCAAAAAGGGAGCAGTCTGTGTCTTAACCTGCAATTGCATTGTTAGCAAAAAGATCCAAGACTGCGTAATTTATAAATCTGGAGGTTTATTTGACTCATGATTCTGGTGTCTGCTAAGGCCAAAGGCATTACAAAATGACTGAGGGCAGAATTTTGAGCAGAATAGTGCAGTCTGTATCCATGTGAGTTTCTCTCTGTTCTGGTCTTATTCTCTCCACTCCTTATAAACCCAGCAGAACTCCACTGTGGAAGTCCTGTCCTAGTCACCCAACCACTAATCTCTTCTCCACCTTACAACCTTCTAAGGTTAAGCTTTCATCGTCTTAATCCCATTACAAGGGCTCAACACATACACTTTGGAGGGACATAGACTGTAGCAGTTTGTGTTTGGCATTGTCACAGATAAACAAAGAGTCATCTGTTAGTCTTATGAGAAAGAGGACAGTGAATCTCATTTAAGTCACAGGATGAAGGGTTCTTTGTGGTAAACTGTTTTCCAGAACACAAAAAGTTAGGGGGATTTCTTAACCGTCTCAGTTTTCCACAAGGTCAAACTTCAGACAAGTTCAAAATTGTCACTGTAAAGCATCTTAAGACCACAGTCTAGAAGTAAGAGTCATTTGGGCCACATCCTATTGTGTAAAGCAGGTGACATACCCCACACAGATTCAGATGTGGACGATTACATAAGGACAAGAATACTGACAGACGTGGTTCATTGTGGGCCACCAAAATTACAGTCTACCAGAGTCTGAACTGGATATTTAAGACGAGACACACCATCAGCATAGCTGATAGGTAGCTGAAACTATGGGGTGGGGTGGCATCACTTTTGGGTGTCTAGAGTAGTAAGTTCAGAAAAGAGTCTGTCACTTGTGCAGACATTTAAGAATGGAGTCTTTAGGATTGTGATTTCCCTAGTTTCTCAGCAGCCCTTTAAACATTCATTCCAGCACATTCTGGGATTTCGTGGCTAGTCCCATACCTTGACCCTCAGCTCGCTATTCACCAATCTAGCAGTAATGATGACTTGTCTGGCCAGAATTTCCAGTTAGAAACTTTTTACATTTTATTTATTTGCCCTGATTGAATCTGGCCAGAGGCACCAGCTTCTTTGGTCTTTGCCACGGAAAGTGGCCACAAAAGAAGAGGGAATCTCGCGTGAAGTGGAGTGTTTTGTCTAGCAGCAAAGCTCTCCCACACAAGGCCCTTCCTCTGAAGCTTGCTAACTTTTGGAAATTTGATCTTTCTCTGACTCGGTTCTCTGACTTTTTCTGGACTTGACAGCATCAAGTCCTTTGGATCTCTTCGTGAACACAGGCTAATAAAAGACCATAAATCTTTTTTACTAGTTGAAGCGTTTACCATTCCAATTAGCATTACCGTTCAAAGGCGCTCATACTGGGGAAACACCAGCATCCCGCGTGCTCGGGTTAAAGGGACTCTTAAATCATGATTAAGCAGAGACCAAAGGGAGGACTGGGGTTGAGACAGTGCCTGCGTTCTGACAGTCATCAGGCCCCCAGGGGTGCCACAAGGTTAGCTCATGAAGGAAGGGTAAAATCCGAGTCTAGTACTGTGGGTTTATTAAAAAAACCTAACTTGGCTTTCTCTACGGGTTACAGGACAAAGTCTCTGCGCTCCCCGAGCAGAGCTGGGTAGTGTCCGAGAACCTGACAGAGGAGTTGGGTGAGAAGTCGCTGAACTATGGGGACATGTGTAATGGAAAGTCATTTCCACGGGACGGGAAACGCACACATTCCTTGGCAAAGGGCCAGGGTCTCAGGACAGTCCAGGGTCTCAGGACAGTTCAGGGGCTGGCTTGTCCTCCCTTTTCAGCCCCACCTGGGAAGGTGGTGGTGGTGGTGGTGGGGGGGTGGCAGTGGTAGGGGAGTGATAGGGGGTCGTGGGGGGGGGTG